TTGGTGTTGCCAGCACCAATAAGTAAATTTAACACCTGCATGCTTTATTATAATCCCAAAAGCATGTAGACATATAAAGAAGATATTAAAGATATAAAGTCTGTATAATGAGCGAGTTGCGTGGTCCTATAAATAAGGAAAGTCAGAGATTATCTGTTTTATATTTACTAACTCTTAGCATGTTGTCACTATCACCCCTCTGTGGAAGTTCTGTGGACTATTCTGTTACCCACAGCCCCTCTGTGGAAGTTCTCCTTGTTTTTTCTGTCTGTTTCTGGCTATGAAGTACCAGTATGTCTCAGTTTATTAAGAAACAGAATTGGTAAGCAGAAATAGGAAAAGATGTAGATATTCCAGTGGTAGAAGAAAAGATAGCAAAATGCAATGAAACTCTATTTCTAGCAAATATGCTCATTAAGGTTGGAGTGTAAAATGTGTGAAAAATATTTGAAAGAATGAAAATGTTTCTTTGTGTAAGCACTCCCTTACTTACATGATGTACCCCCAAAATGCTGTATTTCTGTARCCAAGTGCAGGAACTGAAAATGCAACTCTGCCTCTGCAGTGTTTCAAGGTTAATTAATGGAGGGGTAGGGAGAGAGAGAGTGACTATGCAGCTGGGTATTCTCAAATCATAAAAAGAAAATAGAGTTGTAACTGTAAAAGGGTAATGTCATTAATGWTAATACAGAAATGAAGTATGAAGTATTAGGCCGAAATAACATAAAACTGCGTAACTCAGGAAATAGGGATACAGAAATAAAGAAATTGAGCTGTGTCTTCAGGAAGCATTCATTTAAGGGTCTGTAAAAAGCAGGACCTGGCAAATCCACACACTTGCCCTGTGTTGCAAAGGGGAAATATTCTCTGGTGAATGTAGGTTTGTTGAACCTAAGACTTCATTAAAAATAAATACACTTTAACCCAGTGGCTGTGAAGATAACTTCCATGTGTGGTGTAGTCTATTGCTGTGTGTGTGTGTCCTATGGGTTTGTATTCAAATRGTCTTTGGGAGCAGTTCTTCCTAAGAACTATTTTTATATCCATGCTGGAAGTGGTGTATGGCTTGTTGCTTACCAGTTCTTTGCTATTGCAGATGCAGGTGTCAACAATCCTGAAAGAGAGGAAAGCAGCATTGCAGAGGGTGCCCAGATAATGGGTCTCAGAGAACCTCAGGGTGCTGGGTGCTCATGAATGATTGAAATATAGAGCAAAGAGAATCGTCCTCTGAAATGGAGGGGTCAACAGACTGGAAACCCGAGCCCTGTTCCAGGGACAGTGCAGCAGTGTGTGGTGTGCTAGGATCTGGGGGGAAAGGAGTGCTCCTCTTCTGCTCATCTTGTTCTTTCAACTGCATTCCAATTCGGCTCCTGTGTGGAATTTCCTGGAAAAGATTGTGGTGAAATGCTAAGAACTGATAACCTATGCAAGTGTGATGCTATCTGATGCAAGTGGCAATTCAGTAATCCTAGACAATTATAAAATTTCAGTTCTTTCCAATTTCTACTAATGTCTGGTTATCTGAATATTTAAATGTGAAATTCATAGAGTAATTGTTTGTACTGCTTTTGTTACTTGTATTTTGTTCACTTTACCCTCTTTCATGAGAAAGGCTGAACACCGTGAGTGACTTTCCGCATGTACCATTCACTACTTTATTTACTTCTGTTATGTTCACTGAATTCACCTCTTCTCCAAACAAAATAATCTYCTAAATCTCTCCTCATATAGATGACTCTCTGGTTTTAATCTCTTTGTACCCTTCTCTGGTGCTTTACGATTTCTGCTACATCTTTTTTTAGGTGGATACTGTTAGTGAACACAATTTCTAAATAGGTCACGCCACATGWTTATATAATGGTATATTTTATATCTGCATTAAGAGATGATTATTAACATCTTTCTATCTGTTAAACTGACTATAATAATTGTTAGTTTTTTCCCCTCACTGGTTTCAGCCCCTGTAATTCTAATCAGTGAATAGCAGAAATGTCTGTCTGGAGAAGTGTTCATGTCTTTTGATGGCTGCTCTGACTTCTCCAAGAGCTGGACCCTCTTCCAGAAACTGTGTGCAGCTTCATGAGGCCATGGCCTTCTTCTGCTCTTGCCAACGCCTCTGCTGGCAGTTCTCACTTGCCTTACACAGTAACTGTTTTCTCTTTTTGTCTTCTCCTCTCTTCGTATCATCTTCAGGTTTGTCCTTCCAGTGTTACTCAGGTTATACTGTATTTTGCATGAGTTCTCACAAAGGAGAAACCTTAAACTTTGCATATGTGTAGCAGTTTTTCTACTGACACACATAAGTGAGAATGATTGGACTTTATTGAATTTCTTAAGGTAAAAGACCGCAGTTGCTTCATGGGAGAAACTTTTAGGGCAATTTACACATCTAGTCATCTTTTCAAATAGATATTGTTCAGCTGTTAACTAGCAGAGGTGAAATTCCAGACGGAAATAGTACCCTGGGTCTCAACACCAGCTATGCCAGAAGTGGGTGTGTAGCGAGGAAGTGGTTGGGTTTTTTTTTCCCCCCTCCCCTCTGTCATGTCTTTTTGTAGCCTAAATTATTTTTACATGCACTTTGTACCAATACCACTGTGATTTTTACTTCGTTGCAGCATCTTGCTAGGAAATAAGAGCTTAGAAGTCAGACCAGCATGATCTTTATTACTGCTCATTAGATAAGTATTATTTTTGAGAATTTCTGTTTCCACCATGTTTCATGCCATTTCCTTCTSTCTCCCTTTGCCATCTTCTCCTGCTAAGGAATTACCTGTTTCATCACTATGTTTCCATCATCTTTAATTCAGCAGAAATGTTAGCATATACTTCTGTGGAACGTTACGTTCTTAAAGACTCCCGTACGAGTGACATAATCTTGTGTCAGGATCTAGAAGAATTTTGTAATTGTGAATCTTGAGATTTAAGCTATTGTCCTTAATCTCCTGTGCTAWATGTACATGTCAGTTGGTCCCAGGGCATTCATGTTTGAGCGTCACTAGAATTTTGAGCAATTTTATACTCAGAGCATTAATCTGCATTTGTACCTCTTTAAGAAGCTGTTGTAATAGTTTGTTTCTCTGGCATGGACTAATGTTTGTAAGTAGGGCATTGTGTTGCATATGTAAGGTATGGTAATGCAGGGCAGCGATTCAGCTGATTGGCAGCTGCATAATTAATGATTTCACACTGGAAAGCACAAGTCCCAGGCTGCCATCAAAGAAGCGGTCCTTTACACAGGCTGAGAAGTGACAATGCTCCCCTTGTGCTTTCGAATTCTTTTATTTTTTCTACCAAAAGAGCATAACTGTCACTTCTGGATCAGAAATGAAGATAGCTGCGTCTTCTATTATTAGGCTTCCTTCTGAAGTCCTATATATAATTTTTTCACTCCATAACATTGTGTCTATTTTRGAGATTTGAGAGAAGTAATTGTGGATTTTTTAGTGATCGTTGGGCCTATTTTTAATCCTTGGTTACCTTTTGGTCCAAATTTGCATAGTTTTCACTGTGTAGTGCTCATTGTTGCAATATAGCTTTGAACTGGAAGGAAAATTGTCAATATTTCCATTGCTTAAAGSAACATACATACTTGCCACCTTGAAGTGAATGAATAACTTGTTGCTTGATCAAAATTCCTGGTGGACTTTGTAACAGGACGATAGGAAAAAATGCTGTCGAGAATATTTTTGGCTAAGATTTTCACAGAATCACAGACTCAGAATTTCAACATAAGGATTCTTGGCAAGGGCTCATTGAGAAAGCTGGGCACAGAAACTTGAGGGTGATTGCAAAGCATGGTTTTTGAATTCTCACTGATTTTGGAACTCTTCCTGTCTCCTGGAAGCGTAAAATGGAAAGTAAACAGCAAGGCTTTCGGTTCACATCTGGGTAACAGTGGAGGCCAGATGCTATAGCATGCAATATTAACAAGCAGGGACGAAGTGGTAGGCCTGCTTCYTTCGAGGTTGGCCATGAAAGTTTGGAGAGTTTTCAAGCCAGGAAAGCTCATTAACACTGAGAATGAGTTGCTCAGTGTTGTCCTGCATAAGAGATCCTTCCTTAGATGCTTATCTTCTGGTGGTCCAGAGTCTTCGCTCATTTCACTTGCACTGACCTTATCAGAGATGAAGTTAGGTCAATATTTGTATTTTATAACAGCATTTGCTTGACAGCTGCTTGTTTTGATGCCTCCTTGGGGAGGAAGGGATCTTCAGGCTTGGAAGAGCTGTAATTGAATGTGCAATGGGATTATGGCACAAAAAAGTAAGAGTAAAGTATTATCTACTTATCCGAGGCACATGTAACTGAAAATGAAAGAACTGGCTGCTTACCGTTATTTAACTAGAAAGCCGTTTTGCAGTCAGTGAAACACTAGGATGAGGTAGCAGATACACTGGTCATTAGCAGATGTGGTTAAAGCACAGGATTTTTCCACATTCCTTTGAGGAAYGACTACAAAGCTTATTCATCTCATCTGTAAGCACATAAACATTAGAGGCAATAACATATAAAACATGCAAATATTGGTGTTTCAAAGAGGAGTACTAGTTGTGCAGTGCCTCATCAGTTGCAATATGATTAATATTGCTAAAATCCCCTGTCATGAGGATGYAGGTGCTGTTATTCAGGGCCACTGTGGTTTGGAATGATGTAACTACACTATCTTCTGCTGGTAAGCATTTAGTTCTAGATTTCCACAATGACAAGGCACCAGATATATGATATAAATGCATTTTTACCTTTATTACTTCTAAATTTATTTTGATATTCTTGGACCTAAGATTTCAGCAGTGTGAGACCATTATATGGAAGTACTAAGGAAAAACAGGTAAATTATARGAATTCTCCTTCCAAGAGCTTGACCGTGCTTCCAGAGAAAAGGGGGTAAGATGAGGAACTTAATTCTGTATGAGCATAGCTGTAGCTGTTTGCACTTAAAAATTCAGATATACTCTATTAATTTAAATCAGTATTAACAGTATACTTTTGTTGTATAGGTATATCTGAACCTTCTTTTATTGCTAAAAGTGAAGATCGTTTGTTTAAACATTTATTTCAAGACTATCAAAGATGGGTTCGTCCAGTGGAACGGTTGAATGATACAATAAAAATAAAGTTTGGTCTTGCAATCTCCCAACTAGTTGATGTGGTATGTATAGAATATACATTTTTCCTCTAATTCTTAAAATTACAGAATAGTAAAAAGCAACATAATATATGAATTAGCTTTCATCCCTTTGCTTAAACACAGTAACCTTTAAAATTATTATCAGCACAATGAAAAATGAATTGTATTTGTGAGCTTAGGAAAGAGGTCAAATTTTTTTTTTTTTTAAAAAAAAAAGGAGGTGGAGAAAATGAGAAGCTATTAAAGTTTAAAGCAAAAAAGAAGAGCGGAGTTCATAATAAGCCTAGGGAATTGAGGCTTTATTTATTCAATAAAAAAAAAACACATATTTTTAAACCTTATTAGTCTAATATCTGTAATGCAGGAAAACTTGCAAATACTGCTTTTTTTCCCCATATAAGTAACAAAAAATCTAAAAGCTTTCAAATATGTCACTTCCATAGAAATTAAGATAATCTCTTGGCATGACTTGTAGTGTTAAAGAGATCAACTTAACCTTTTTTTTTTTTTTTTTTTTCACTTATTAGCTTTAAAATATTTTTGAGTTGAGTTCACTGTTTAAATCTATAAGAGGATTTTTACCCCCCCCCTCCAGGTTGATTATTCCTTTAGATGCCACAGGAAAAAAAAAAAAAGGTAGGACTGCATACAATACTGTCCAACTGAGTAAAGAAAGGGAGAAAGGAGATACAGAAAACAGTGGGGGGGGGGGAACACTTTTTTTTTTTTTTTTATTTTTACTGGCTAAATAACTAGATTATACTTGTAAGTTTAAAAAATGGTCATGTAAATATACTTATTGAGGATTAGAATGCTTTTAGAATTGCTTTATGTATTTTAAATTACTGACTTATTTGAGCTAAAACACTTGCAATGAATGGGCTATACGATTTTTCCTTTTTTTTTGTTGTAGGACGAGAAAAATCAATTAATGACAACAAATGTTTGGCTGAAACAGGTAAGGGCAAAATTTCAACAGAAAATTCTGAAGCATCAAGCTGGAAATCACAACTTGGAAGCCAGTCTTCTAATTCTTTTTGTATTCGGGACATCATTTCAGCTGTATTTAACCTTTATTTTACATAGTGTCTTCACAAAGTGTCTCTGAAGGTTTGATTATTATGAAATTGTTATAAAACKTAGTTTAAAAAAAAAAGTAAATGATAGTCCTTCACTTGATTTTAGAAATTCTGATAGAACACTGCATGGATATGTAGGAAGTGAAGATATCTATATTTAACCTAAAAGCTACTGCTTTATTATAGAACTTTATTATAGAGCTATGATATGAAAAATGTTGTATGTTTGTGTAATTGTGTGAAGTATGTCTCTTGCATTATATTTTAGACTGTCAGATAAACATTTTATTTTTTATAAATTTTCATAAACCTTGAACCTTTTTTTTCTGCCAAAAAAGAAAAACCCTTAAAAAAAAAAAAAAAAAAAAAAAAAAAGACTCTTTATAGCAAGCATATCCAACTTTGAAATTAGAATCCTATGCTAAATTTAGTGATCACTTTTATCTTGGGACCTGCATCAGTTACATTTTAACTTTGGGGAATATTTGCAGCCCCTAATTATAATTACTATGTTGTTTTTATTTGGACTACTTCCTCTGTTTGTGCTGCTGTTCCCCATTCCCCTCCTCCCAAGCAATGTTGTATAAGTTCAGGCATTCTTTTTCAGGAGAAATTTTTAGATTATCCAGAAAATACAAAAAGGGAGTATGTTGATGGTAGCCTGTTGTGCCCTCTTGCTAATTTCTGCAGAACTTGTGGCAGTCGAACCAGTTCAAATAAAATAAGAACTGATCTGAATATGTATTTAAACTATATATTTAAACTTAAACTCTATTATATGTATGTGTCTTGAGCCTTTCATTTTTCCCTCTTGAACTTTAGTTCAAATATAGTAATACCAAAACAATAACATGCATTTTACTGGTGGTGTTTTGGGTGCTGCTGCTGAAACCAGCCAAGAATATTTCATGARAGCTGCAACATGTATTTTGTTTGTTGACTTTGACCACACGGTTTAGATTGTTTTAGGTAGTCTTCCAAACTCCCTRGTGTTCATTCAGGATAAGCTTTTTAAAATGTGGTTGTGTCTACTTGTAATAGCTTTTACTTATGTAGACCTAAGTAGGAAAAAAAAATAATTAATGTTTTAAGTTCGGCATTAATATTTTAAGTTCATAGAAATACTGCCAAATGACTCTCAAAACAAAAGTGAATGCTGACTGAGGTAAGTAGGTATCTATTCAGCAAATGCGCAGTTGTATTCAAATTTTAGAAGCCAATCTGATCTTTTTTTTCATTGCATTTATATGTATTCTCATCCAGTCTTTTCCTGCTTCAATCAGTTCCAGTTATAAWTTTTGCAACTCCGTGTTTCTACAGGAATGGATAGATGTAAAATTAAGGTGGAATCCTGAGGACTATGCTGGAATAACATCTATTCGTGTCCCATCAGATTCTATTTGGATTCCAGATATTGTTTTGTATGACAAGTAAGATTTTAATCTTTTCATGTTAAACATATTTACTCTAGCTTCACTATCCAGCCTGCTTGTAGAAGAGACTCCTTGAATGCTTATGTGTATGCATTATGTAATGCTAAGAACATGTGGGAAGGCTTTACAATTTGCCTCCAGATGTGAATTGATTTTTTTGTTGTTGTTGTTTTTGTTGCTTTGTTAAATGCTTAAATGTGTTGCTTTRCTTCTGTATGGAATTTCTGGTCTTTGAAAAATTTATTTTCCCKTCTTTATGTAAACTTTTTTTCCTAGACAGCATCTTGCACAATATCAGGAGCAAATTTATGATGCAGAGTGATGGGAGGGAGCAACTCACCCATGCTGTTCTAAGAACCATACTGTTCTAAGATATTCATCAGAAATTTAAAAATAAGTATGCTTGGTTTTCAGTTTTGAGGGGAAGTTTTGAGGGGAGATCTTCTCCTGAACATCTCAGCAGAAATACATTCTGAGTGAACAGTTTGCCTGTATGTACAGTGGTTTAGGTTTTACTTGTTGAATAGAGCAAAAAGTCTCTTACAGTCTTTAAAAAGAAACAGAAGCAACAGGGGTGGTTATGCTGTCAAAGATGAGAATTCTGTTTACTATGTTGTTTTTTTCCTGTCTCTTGTTGAAGTCTTTAGGACCACGGAAGCTTGAAATGTGCTTCGCTCTTCCAAAGCTGTCTACTGTGTGAGATTCAGATTAAAAATAAAGTGGGATCTGAACACAAATACAAAAATTTGGCTGTAAAGGGAAAGAGGGGCTAAGCAACTGAAAYGACAATAATAAAAATACTTAATGAAACCTAAAATGAAGTCATTTTCCTATGAATATATATGTTTATGTGTGTGTGTGTATGTATATGTGTGTGTGTATATAATATATATATATGAGAAATAACACATTGTAATTGCATACTTCTATCTCTCCTTTCAGTGCAGATGGACGTTTTGAGGGAACATCTACAAAAACAGTGGTAAAATATGATGGCACCRTTGCTTGGACTCCACCAGCAAACTACAAAAGTTCCTGTACTATTGATGTAACCTTCTTCCCCTTTGACCTTCAGAACTGCTCCATGAAATTTGGATCCTGGACTTACGATGGCTCACAGGTTGACATAATTMTAGAAGATTATGATGTTGACAAAAGAGATTTCTTTGATAATGGAGAATGGGAAATAGTGACTGCAACTGGAAGCAAAGGAAATAGAACTGATGGATGCTGCTGGTATCCATTTATTACATATTCCTTTATAATTAGGCGTTTGCCACTTTTTTACACATTGTTTCTCATTATTCCCTGCATAGGACTCTCATTTTTAACTGTTCTCGTTTTCTATCTTCCTTCAAATGAAGGTGAAAAAATTTCCCTTTGCACATCGGTATTGGTGTCATTGACTGTTTTTCTTCTTGTTATTGAAGAGATTATTCCATCATCTTCTAAAGTAATTCCGCTTATAGGAGAGTACTTGGTGTTTACTATGATATTTGTGACACTGTCCATTGTAATAACAGTCTTTGCTATCAATATTCATCATCGATCTTCATCTACACACAATGCTATGGCACCTTGGGTGCGCAAGATATTTCTTCACAGACTTCCCAAGCTGCTTTGTATGAGAAGTCATGTTGATAGATACTTTGCTCAGAAGGAGGAAACAGTCAATATCAGTGGGTCAGAATCGTCCAGGAACACGTTGGAAGCAGCTTTAGATTCTATTCGATACATTACAAGGCATGTCATGAAGGAGAAGGAAGTTCGGGAGGTGGGTGTCTTAATCATGTTATACTTGTTTTCTGAAGCCAAAAACTGGGGAACTAAATGATGGTTTAGATTGTCTGTGGGCAGTCTGATGCTAAATGAGTGCTAGAATTTCTGGTTCTTATACTTTGCTATAGGCCATGTAATTATTCCCACTGGAAGTAAGTGCAAGTGTGGTGCAATACTGAGACATTTTACTGTATCAGCCTGATATCTGTACTGTCCTTAGGTTCTTAGAAACTTTTGCTCTCCTCTAGAGGTAAGTTCAAATTTTAAATACCACAAATTAGTTTAAATGTAGGCCTCAGCCATTTATTACTCATGYATGCTGAGATCAAATATCAGAGTATGTTGAACTATCCCTTCCTTAACCRTTTAGATGAGAGCATTTTGAATATATTTTTTCCCTTGTTTTTTAAGGAAACAATCACTACTGGAGCCTCATAGATCAACTGCTGTTTTCAGGCCTGCTTTGAAATACAGAAGTTTGTTGTGTGTTCTCATGATGCTACTATCTGCCCCTTGTGGGAAGGGCTTGGCATCTCTATGCGGAAAGGATCATTTGGAAAAATCTCTGGTTGCTGGTAGCCTCTTCTCACGTGCTAGCCAAGGAGTAAACTGGCTCCTTAAATACAGCCTCACCAGCGTTTACTCTGTCCTAAGCATCACAAGGAAACCAATCTCAATGAGATTTTTGAATAACTCTGTGATGCAGTCTTAAAAGAGCATCTTATACCTCTGATTGCATTTGCTGTAAAGCACATATGAATAGTATGCTATTAAATATATATTTTCCTCTAAGCTACAGGGTTGTTTTTCTTTCTTTTAATGATTTTTTTTTTATTTGGAAGAACTGAATATTCTCTTTGCTGTGTAACTCCATGAAGCAGTAGCTTCACAGTTTTTAGAGTTGATGRCACAGCAGTTATTGTTTGATTTTATTTACTTATTTTTGCAACTCTTGAATCTAGTTTCTCTCTGGGAATTTTATTTTATGAACTTAAGGCTTCCAATACACTATAAAACATGTACTAATTTCTTCTTTGTGTAAATGAGGATATTCAGTGCTCTTCATGGTCAGTTACTGCCCATTYAAGTCTTGTATTTGGACTATAGTTAACCAGCCTTAACAAAGGCAAGTGCATCCCTGCACTAGCTCATGGTGTAATTACAGAAGATTTATGACAACAGGTTATTAAATTGCCCCGTTTGAAGAATGTGTACTGTAAGGTATCTGAATAAGAAATGTAAGGCTTTAATTCTATATTCTCACCTGTTTTCCCAGACACTGAACAACTCTCATGTTCTTTGTTTTTTAGGTTGTTGAAGACTGGAAATTCATTGCTCAGGTGCTTGATCGAATGTTCTTATGGACTTTTCTTCTCGTTTCAGTAATTGGATCGCTTGTGTTATTTATTCCTGTAATTCATAAATGGGCAAGTATAATAGTGCCTATGCATATAGGAAGTACAAATACATAAATATTTTGTCCAGATGACATGCCTTTAGAAAGGCCCATAGTAGCTCTGTTTCCATCCATTTCCATGTAGCTGTGTTTCTGATAGAATAAAATATAAATAAATAAAAAYCCAAGAACAGAAAAGGATGCTTTTGTTAAAGCATGGCACTGTAAGACAAGGAGGTCAGTTTGCTTAGTGCTAACCTACTAATTCACATCTAATCTGTTCAGAATCAAGATGATCTTCTCAAACGCTTGCATGTATGATATCTCCAAAAATATACACTGACACCTACTGAGAAGTACAAGGATTAAAAGAAAAATAGAGGATCCTTGTAGCTCTATTATTAAATTATTGTGTGAAGTATTATACTGAGTATTAAATATTTGCATRTACTTATGCAGTAGAGTTTTTTCAGTTATTAGAGTATGCAAAGGAGGATTTTTAGTAGCGTAAGTCCTTTTGAATGTGTTATAAAGTATAAGTACCTTTTTCTACAGAAAAAAATAGAACTTAAACCTCAGTTGAACATTATCATATACCTAGTATATAAATAGAAGTAGTGAGGTGACTGCATTTTGTCTTTTCAGTGAAATTTTCTGCATTTTTTTCTGCTAAACTTAAAATCTTATTAATTCTATAGTACTAATGCGAACATCTAACTTAGCCTTAAAATGTTGACAGGATATGTGCATATTGATATATGCATATCGGTTATGGAAAGTGAAGCGAATACCCCTAAACGACATGCCCAAGTTGCACAGGTGTTCTAATGGAGCAGAAGAGTCAAATTTATTTATTCTGTAGAAAAGAATATTTCTGTTTTATAATGAATATAATGTTTTATAATGAGTATTTATTCAGTTTTATAATGAATATTTATTTCAGTTGTCAACATATTCCTTCCCACATCAGTGCATCAGTAACTTCCTCTGTGTGGAATTCGCAAAAATTACTTAATTATGAATTTTTTTTTTTTTTTTTGGTTCTCACTGGCTTTGAATTACTTATGAAAATTTACTATTATCTAAACAGGAAGTAAAGTGAGTAAAAAGGTATGGATTAGTAATGTGTTTTTAACTCCTCCCCTGCATCTGTTTTCCCCTTGCTAAATGATTGCTGTAGATTGCCCAATTATATCATAATGTGAATAGGAGCATATTGACCAAAGGAGTCCCAACCTTATGCTAGTACCTAACATTTTTTGCAAACCTATAAAATTTCTTCACTCACTTCTATAAGCTGATTGTGAAATATATAGGTAAAACAGCTGACAATAGAATCCTAGTCTTCAGCTCATCCTTGGGTGTTTGCAAACCTAAATATTTTGTAATAGGCTGAGAAGTATGGATTTACCTAGTTGGTTTCTGAATGTACTGAACTATTCCTAGTGCTACCTTATATAATGTTTGTCATTTAGTCAAAATAAAAGAAAAAGTCACAAGTTTCCACAGCTTGATTCTCTTTATTTTCATAAATGTTACATCATTTTGATATTACTGTATTTCCAAAGGTTTCCAGTTTGGCATAGAGAGAACAGTTCATAAACTTACAAAGCATTTCCTCATTCCAGTATTTTGTTGCACTGTTTACTCATGCACTCAAATTATCTGTAGTCACAGATTTAAAGAAAAAAAGGTATGCCTAAGAAGCAATTTTAACCTACTTGACAGGAATGCTTTGTGTATTTGTCTGCCTTTCCACACAGAAAAGCACTTTCATATAGCAGGATGCTTCCATATTCAAACAATCATACAATATTTTGATCCTTTGCATAGCCCTTCAATGCATGTTACTACATTTTATTTCTATACAGTTTAAAACATTATTTCTAAATAGCTGATTTTTTTTTAATACAGTGAAAATATGAGGATGTACAAAAGTTTATATTCTGGCTGCTTTACCATCATCATCTATTACTGATGTATTCATTTTCCTCTTGTAACTAGTGCTGCCCAGGATCCTTTCTTTCCGTGATTTGGATCATTGTTTATACACCAGGTGGCAATGTTCTCCATTCGAACAGTTGCGCTTCCTAAATTGCTTCAATAGTGTGCAGACACTCACTAAACTGATTATGAACCTTCTCCCACACGACTGTGTTGTAGTGTGAAAAGACTCAGTGCCAGCCTCCTGGAAACAAAGCTSGTAGCCCAAGTACTGAACTTTTCTCAGACTATTCATGTAACGCTTTATTTATCAAGCCCTTCTTAAACCATTCCTATGTACTTTAATGTATTGTCCTTTTATTACAAAAAACAAAGCTGGCAAGCCTAAAGCATATTACCTTGAGATTGGCTGTCATAAATAAAAATATACTTTTTCACATTTTTAATAAAGCCTTCTTAGTCAAGCAAAGTTCAGAATAAGAAAGATTCTTATTCTTCTAATGAAATGCATACAAAARCTTCAGATACAAGCAAAAAAAAAAAAGTTGGGCTAGCAAGTTTGGTTTGGTAAGGTAACATTTTGATTCTTTTTCATCTTTTCACATTTCATCTCCAATCATCAAAGGTTGTAAAAACAACCCTGCCGTTCCTAGAATACATACCAGGATGAAAACCCATAGAAAAATGCGATCGATTACCATGGCAACATATTTCCAGTCATCCTGAATCTGAAAAATAAACAGATCAAATAAAGTAGGCATGTTTATTAGTAACTTGTAGTAAGATCATTTCATTCTTTTCTATATACACGATTTTAATACCAGTGTTTTGGTAGACAAATTAATTCACCTTGAAGAAGCTTTATTTGAATAGGCTATTTGCAAAGCCAAAAGTAGCTCTTGAAGTAAAATAAAAGTGTTCACCAAGACATGGGACCTCATGAGATACAATCTCTTCTCTGGCAGTTAAAAGATATTCTGGACAAACCTGACTACCTCAGAATGTAAATCCTATTGAAATCGGCTTCTCCTCCTGCTCCTTGAGCAGTATATGAGAATATAGAAGATAACTGATATATGACAATTTGTTACATTGATGTTTTAAGTGGTACAGGAATTTAACAACATTCTTGACATAAAATTCATCTTCTTACCTTCCATGTGTGAATGAACCAAATATCCAAGCACATTTTTTGTTTTTATTTGTTTTTTTTAGGGGATGTTTTAGCAAGAGTGACACTGAAGTACTATGCATGTTGCATGTTAGTAGAAACAATGCTTGATAACAACTTCAGTTATTCTGTGATTTCAATCTTGACTTCATTTTTCCTCAGGTATGGTAATGTTAATTTTTTTTTTTCTTGTTTTTGAATAGTTTAGAACTTCTTCTCTGAGTTAAGGTAAACAAAAAAAATCTGTATTAGGTTGTACTAACTGGGAGTTGGCATGGGCTGTGTGACAAAGATGCAAATACTTGTCGTCTTTACAGATGGGGAACTGTGGGAGGGAGGATGTGACTTTCTAAATGCCACTGAGTTGGCAGGTTCTACTACTGAGTTGTAATTTGGAAATCCTAACTACAAATCTTGTAGGAGGCTACTCAGCTCTGCTTCCCTAGCAGGGCTACTGTGACACGTTTCACTGTGTATGCATTTATGCTTCTTCAATAAGGAAAGGGGTAACGCAACAGAGCTGCTCTCCCAAATTAACTAGGCTTAGTTAATTTATAATGCAAGTTTATGTAATTTACTTGCATAAAACAACAGTCTATGCTGTCCATATTTTTCTAGGGGATTCTTACAAAACAGTTCTATGTGAAATGGTAAATGGTATCTGCAGTCTGAGTAATGGTAAAATATGTTCTTACCTCTTTTGCTTCATTCTGCATTTTCATATTTTCTGCAATGTATTTAACACTTTCAATAGCATCTCTCATTTCTGGTGACAGAACCGAAAATGAAAGCAGAGGATCTACAGATTCAGAGCTTGAACTTCTTGTGAGATTGCCACTGAAATCTGAGAACTTCATCCGCTGGTACTGACAACAGCTGCATGTTGCGTCTTGACACACAAAGCTATCTTTGCATTTGGTTTCCGAACCATTGAAGCAGTTTAAGTTTGAAAACTCAGTGGCGTAAAATGGTTTTGCCTTCTGATTATTCTCTTCCTTGCTGGCAGGTCTTGTCATAAACATGATCCTGGGAAGTAAGTTCAAGAAGATGGTTCTCACCCACACGGGCATCGTGTGCGTCTTGGGTGTTCTGTAGTGCACATTAAGTACAAATACCGTAATGACAATAGATAGAGTCACAAATATCATGGTGAAAAGGAGGTATTCCCCAATAAGGGGAATTACCAGAGAAGTAGAAGGTATGGTTTCTGTGATAACAAGAAGGAACACTGTTAAAGATAAAAGGACTGATATGCAGAGTGTCACCTTCTCACCACAGTCTGAAGGCAAGTAGAATACTAAAACAGTCAGAAAAGAAATCAGCAGACATGGAATAATCATATTGATAGTGTAAAATAAAGGTAAACGCCTGATGTAGAGGGAGTATGTGATGTCTGGATATATCTCTTCACAACAGTTGTATTTGATGTCATGTTTATAGCCAGGGGCTTTAATGATAGCCCATTCTCCACTCTCCCAGTAATCTTTGAGGTTCATCGTAGAACCAATTAAAACTAAGTCAATTTTGGCTTTATCGTAAGACCAGGAACCAAACTTCATGGTGCAGTTCTGATAGTCAAAAGGGAAGTAGGTTACATCTATTTTACATGAGCTTTTAAATATAGCTGGAGGTATCCAGGTCACGTCACCTGTGTATTTCAGTAGGGCCTTTGTCTTGTCATCAACCTGGAAGTCGCCAACGGCACTGTAAAGCAAAAAATGGGGGGGGGGGGGAAGGCAATTGTTCCTTTTAACTTCACATAATGAGATCATATTTATAAAATCCTTAATCTGTTTTTGCAAGTAAGCAATTACATGTTAGTATGGTGCTGAATTGCATGCACCGGATTGAGTAGCTGTCATAAATTTGCCTGGATAAGCTTAATTGAACAGCTGCATGAATTTACCATAGGCGATGCAAAGAGAATCCTTTTTCTTTGTAATAATTTGAGAGCAGTTTCCATACGTAGCAGGGAGATCCAGTTAGCAGTGCTTTGGCATTTCACAGCCTTGGAAACAAACACCCAAACCACATCATATCTGAGCTTTTGTACGCCACTGCAGTGTTGCATAGGTGTCAAATTGTGAGTTTAATTGCTGAAAAAAATGCCTATAATTAGCAGTTTTGAACTGCTGACGAACATTTTGATGTAAGGGAGCTTCCTGCTGCCACCCATGGTGCTTAAAAACACCAACATCGCCTTCCCTCTTCGTGAGGTAACAAGCACCCAAGAGCCTTACTTGTTATACAGAACGATGTCTGGCTTCCAGATCTGCCCGGAGGGCACGCGGATGAATTCGGCACCTCCATAGTCACCGGGGTTCCACCGAAGCTTGTAGTCGTTCCAGATCTAAGTGGGCGAGATGCGCGAGGCTGCAGGTGTGTGCGCGAGGCCGGCGCCAAGCCGCTGCCCGAGCGCCTGGGGCGGTTTGAGTTGGGCACTGCGCCGCTCGCTTRGCTCTATCAAAAGTGTGTGGGTTATGGACACCAGCACAGGGTGCCCCCAGCCTGAGCAGGGTCTGGCTCTGTGTTCGAGTGCCTGCCTGAGGAGTTTTTATGCAAGAAACCACAGGTGAAAGATGAAAGGAGATGCGGCATGGAGGACAGCAGAAATAGGAATGCAATTGGGTAAGAGGATAAAAAGAATGGGATTTTTTTTTTTTTTTTGACTCCTTTCCGTTCTTTCACCAGCCCTCTCCTTAGCATGCTGGGGCTTCTGTGTTTGAATGCAGCAGTGGAATGGCAGCCCCCTCCTCCGCCACTGCCCTTAGCTGCAGTGCGGCCGGGGCAGCGCTGCTCGCCTCAGCCGAGGGCGGGAAGGTCCCCAGCGACTGAGGCGGCCATGTCACTGCGCACCCGCGGGGTCGCTGTGGAGCCATCGCCAGGACTACTCACGTGCTTCAGCCACAGGTTGGTTTCCATGATCTGGTTCACTTCATCCTGCAAAAGAGGGAGGCGTCGGGCCGGGCGGGGGGTGGCACTGTAGCCKCCCCTTGTGCCCGGGACTCACCACCTTCACCAGCTGCGACATGGACACCTCGAACTGGATGATGACGGGCTCCGAGACGTTCCTCACCGGCCGCACGAACTGGTTGTAGTTCTCGAACAGGGCCTGGTAGAGCCGGTGCTCGGCCTCCGAGCCCCTGCAGCCTGATGTGAGAGGAGAGAGTGTGAGTGGGACTTTATTCCCYGGGCAGGGGAATGGCCACTGGGTGAAGTGGACTCGCCACGAAATGGCGCCTCGGCTCTGCAGCCTGCGTCGAGGGGCCGTGGTTGCAGTGAAAGTAACAGCCTGTCTGTCAAACCGTGGAAACAGCGCTTAAAATTGTTGAGCCATTGCATTCAAAAAGGTATCCGAAGAGAACGCCTGCTAAGAGCCCATTTATTCTTCTAAATAATTTCTACCCACAGTATCTCCCTACTGCCCTTTTTGGTTCTGGTGCTGCCTGTGGTGCCTYGTGGCTGCTGAAAAAGCTGCAAACTGAAATTGTTTTAAAGCACTGCCCGTTTCAACTGCTTGGGGATGAGTTACGAGAGTCAGCATTTCAAACCATCTTTTTATTCCCTGAGCCTAGCAGTAAACATCTTATCTGCTGGAGAATATCTGGAAGCCAACGATCTCATCTTTCTAGGGCAATTCCCCTTCAAATCTCTGCTGGACAAAATATCTTCCAGCATTTTAGATGGAAAAAATACCTGGTTTTGCCTTTATGCATAGCSCTGTATGTGAACATGGCAAAAGCACAGAAGTGAAGTCTGTTGAACAAATCCTACGATTCCTTAGAAAAACATATAAAACTATGGATAATTACAAGAAATGCACRTTTATTTTTCCTGAATTTTGTTGTTTTTTGATAGGAAAAGAGAAAAGAAGCAAAATGCATGTGACTGATCTGCTGTTTCCCAAAGCAGATGTTACCTTCCGATCTTCCTCAGACAAGAGGATCCTCCCATGTCAAACTGTATTTAGCTAAAAAACACTGAGATGCCAATTTTATCTTCAGGTTAGTGAAGTGACTCAAACAAACTTGTCTAATTCAAAAATGCACACCCTTCTTTCACACTTTTGGGGAAATAGCTTTTTAACAGCTACTCTTGCCCTTACAAGTTTTTATTGATCTCTAACATATGAGGTGTATCAAATCAAGCTTTCTGGAATAAATGCTCCATAGTCTTTCATATAAATAGTTTTAAGAAAGCTCTTCATTATAGCCCCTTCGAAATTGTCAGCCTTTTTACATGACTGCAACACAGTAATTAAATCTGGCTTTGACTATATCTAGACAATAAGTGCACTAGTGAGTTTAACATTTAAATGCTTCAGTGTTCCCTGTATGTACAGAGATAAGGTGCAGTGTTCACAGAGTGAGCTGCACACAGATAAAGCTATTTAATATCGTCTCTTCCTTTTGGTCCTTCTGTACTCTACAGTATGTAAGACTAAACCTTTACATGCAGGGAGCTTTCTGTTCAAGTGTTAAAATGGCTTTGTGGTTCCGTTTGGCATCTCGATCAGGGCTCCTTAACTTGTTACTCCTTCACAAGGAGGAATAAAAAAAGCCTAACAGAAACAGCTATCTTAGAGATCGTTGCCTGGAGTAAGCTTCAACACTGAAAATAAATTGCACAGTCTTTGTTCGCCTGTTTAGTTCCCTCCTCACCAACAAAGAAAAAGCAAATTAAGGCTCACTCACCTTGCAAGAGAAGGCAAAGGGCGGCAGTTAGGAGGAGAGCGCGCGAGCTCTCCATGGTGTTGCGAGTTGCTGCCGGTCGGTGGAAGCAGCTGCCGGCAGCAAGCTCAGCTGCAGGACTGAGGAGCAGGGAAGCATGAGCGCTCCGCTCCTCTGGAGGAGGAAATGCTTGGAAGCTGCAGGCAGAAGGACCCCGAGCACAGCTCTGCGCAGCGAGCTCCCATTAGGTTTGCTGTGCTGSCCCCTTTCCAGTGCCCAGGCTGTCACAAACAGGGTGCTGGGAACAGAAAATAAATTGTAGGCAAAAGAGAGGTTATTACTGTAGGCAAGGAGCAGTCGCATAGTAAGGAGAGCAGACAGGAGTCCATCAACTGGTGTGTAAATGAACCCTCCACTGTGACAATACTAAAGATTTTTCCAGTCAGCAACTGATCCTTGCAGGGTCCTTCTTTATAAAGAAGTTTATGCCAAACTATTAAGTCAGGTTTAGTTAATGAAAATCTTCTAATTGAGTTGTGCTGAAATGGATATTGACATTAAGGACACCTGATGTAGCAGTGAATGAGACCAGGAGACCTGAATGTTCAATTATGCACAGTTAATGTTGCGTTTTTTGTTTTTTTTTTTCTCCTAATAGCATCTCATTTTTCAAAGCACATGTGCCAGGTGCTCATCTCCAGCCTAGTTCTTTCCTGTACATAAAAGATGTTATTATTCCCTGGAGTAGCCTTAAACACACTCATAAATGCTTCCAGGATCAGAGCCCAGAGATGTTTACGCAGCCAACAGGATCCAGCCAGAGCCAGGAGTTTGGGCTGCAGCCAAACTAGACCAAAACTCTTGGGAATAACTGGTTTTGGACCTTTCCTGCTTTCAGGGGCTGGCAAGATCAGGTTTGGGAAGGGAGATGGAGGAGTCTGGGTGTTACATTTGAAGCTCAGGTCAGGACTCTTCTCAAACAGTAATSTAGGCTGGAAGAGCTCCAGTAAGTCTTTAAATTCTCATTGCAGATTGAACAGATTTCATCTTTTTCCACTGCTATGGATTTTCATTCTTAAGTTAAAAAAAAAGACTTGGATTTTTTTTTTTGTCAAAAAATTTTTATAATCAAAAATCTCAAGAGATAATGTCGCAGCAGTGAAGGAAGTGACATGTTTTCTTCTCATGTTTTTCTGGGATTGCACCTTATGTAGAAACAAAGAACTGAAGCTGGGTGGTAGGAGGTTGCCCTTCTCCCTTCCCTACTGCATGGGCCCGCCGTCCAGAGCCACAAGTGTTTCATTAGTTTCCTTTGCAGTCATAAAATCACTGTTTACAAAGTGGCTCACTCGTGCGGTGCTCATCAGCTTCCTCACCAATGTGTGTGTTACCTGCTGCACACCTGGGCCATCCATCTGTGCAGGGAGAGGGGCGGACATGGGATTGCAGTCTGTTTGGGGTAGTGGTGGGAGGACAGCCTGAGGGACAGCTCCACTCAGCGCCGTGGCTAGCGGGAGCACTGGGACAAGGAGCACCAGGAGGGCTCCGTGTTCTTGGCACAGAGGCTGTTCATCCTGTTTACTCCAGCTCTCAGAGCATCATTCACCCCATCYCCAGACACATGTTCTTTTGATAATTTCTGTAATTGTATTAGTGCAGAGGAAATAGGCTTTACTGTCCATTTGATTTTATTTATTTTTTTCCAGAGAACTCAGTCATTTGGTTTTGTAGTTTAACCCTTTTGTGGACAAATTTTGTTGCCTTTCTAGGGCATACAGAGTAGGGTTGGGGGGGCAGGGGAGGGTTGCTTTTGTTTTTGTTCTTTTTTTCTTTTTCTCCTTCTGCCTTCTTGGTTTCCCTGAATGAGCACCCTGATCACTAGGATGTTTGTTTTTAATCACAGGCAGAAATGAGCTACAGCTGCTTTAAACATCAGATTGGAATCAGGTTCCTCAAAATTCAGAGCTTAAAGCTGAGGAGTTGGGAAATGACTGATTTTCAGAGGCAGTGAAGAGCTATTGTATCTTTCAGGTATTTCAGCTTAATTTGCCTAGTTATTGAATTTTTCATCAGTGTTTGCATGCACAGTGATACTTTTTCTCTGATGTTGTTCACGGGTTTGTGGTAGGCTCGTTTTTGTGGCTAGGRAGGGTGATATGATAGGAACACGTCACCATGACTGCACTGCAGAACCACGCAGGGGAAAAATGTGTATGGGCAGGGGGAAGCTCATCCACTCGTGAATATCTGCAGTAACGAACTGTGCTTTTTGCTTTTTTGAAACCCTACAACACTCACAAGAGTCACTACACAAGATGACAGTTTTGGTCTCTTTCTGTTTTGATACAAAATTTCCATTTTTGAAATATTACCACAAAGTCATAGCAAAACTCTGCTATTCTTTGAGAAGCTAAACTGGGAATGATTTTATGGATTATGCAGACAGGACTGGTGAAGCTGTTGAGCTTTAGGCAAAAATAGCAATTCCCATTTCAAAAGCAGTGTTTAGAAGGTCAGAATTTTGCCAAACCTAAACAAATTGGTTGAATTTTCCTGTGCTGAAGTTTACCGTGTTATTTCTGAAAGCTTTTTAAAAAATATGTATTTATAATTTCTGAAAGCATAACTAGAAAAAGCATATTGCTTTACTCATGACCAAAAAAATGAGCAAGATATACGGAAAGCACTAGAGCCACTATATCCTGACTGAGCATCCCTAGTTCTGCAGGRATCTCCCTGGGGCCAGGGAAGAGCCTTTAAAAGCCCTGCCTGGGCTGGTGCAGTGTGAGGCCTCCATTTGCCTGCGCTCCATGGCTGGCTGAGCTGCCAAGTTCTATCTGAAACCCTTGTCATGCCGAGGATAATCCAGCTGAAGGCAGCAGGAACAGAGCTGAGCTTTATCAGGCAGTGCTGCTCCTAAAGATAAGACTGACAGTGAGACAGGAATACGGGAAATCTCCGCCCGGTTGCATTGAGGCTGTGTGGAGGAACAGGGAGAAAGTGGGAAAGGGAGGGCAGTAGCGGTCACAGGAGACTGGCCCTGGATGCAGAGAGCCCCGGGTAGCTGAAAAGCTTCCAGGGCAGCTGCCTTGGTAGGTCTGAACCTGCGGGGTATCTGCAGCTGCCTGGGAACAGAGACCTCACTAGGGCCACTGTGCAGGTGGGCAGGTGAAGTCAGGGGCAACTTCAGCCAGGGCTTGTTGGAGACCGTGAGTCGGATGTCTGTGAATCCTCCYATGGGGCGGTGGGTGCTGAGGTTCCCCCCTCCTCAGGCAAATTGCCTCTTAATGGTGGTGGAATTGCTGTGTCCTGACAGCACCCCAATGAAGAGCTAAAGTTGTTTTAGCCTGAATTTAGCCCAATTTTGCAAGCAGCAAGCTATGTGGGGCAAGGCTGGTGGGTTTATTCCCCAGCAGAAGTCTTGGGCTCTGACCAGTCCTCTGCCAGAGATGTTTCATGTAATTAGCAGTTCAAATGCAAAGCATGAAGGTCTGTTCGTTCTCAGGTGTCTTAACCTCATTCTTTCAGCTGTTGCTTTTTACTCGTCTTCTCTGTTGGATTCTTTTCCGTACAGCTAGTCTTTGTGATTTGTGAAAGTGTCTATGAACCCCACTTAAAAGAGTGGTGAAAGCTGCAGGAACATTTCAGGACTAAATCTGTGTGTAGGAGATTTTCACATTTTATTTATATTTCGTCACTGAACAGCGTATATAAATGTTTGTTAATCACAACTTAATTTGGTCTCTGTTGATCGATCTGCTAGCAGAGATGGCAAGATGAGAAATCCAATAGTGGCACTTCAAAAGTTTGGCTCTGATTTTTGGATTCATCTTAACTATCACATTCAAAGCAGCTAAACAGTAATGATTCCACCTGTAATACTTTTAAAAAACAGATATAAGTAGTTTTGAGGCATTTGAAGGAAATAAATGTCTTGGCAATAGCTTCTTTGTAATATGAGATCTGCAGTGTGGAAACTGCAGCATTCTAAGGAAAGAAAATGTCCTTCCTGAGACAAGGTATATAAAATATCATTTTAATAATCCTAATGATAATCCTGAGCCAAGGTGGCACATTGTACAGTAAAAGCTTTCCTCTGCAATATTAGGGCTTGAAATGATTGGAAAAAAGGGCCAACATATCACCAGAAATAACAAAGTCATTGGAAAAAAATAACTGTTTCTGGATTTTTCCTATCACAATGATCTAGCAGGTCAAATTCCATTTTCCATTCCCCTATTGTAAATCTGATGCAAGAGCAACTCCGTTGACACCTCTCCTGGTTTACTGGAGGAGAACCAAGAGCAGAATGAGGCCCAGCAGCTACGTAAGCATTGGCAATTTTAAATGACAACTAAGGGTTCATGGTAGCTGTGTGGTTTTGAAAAAGTGGCTGCAGGAACAACCCAACTGTCCCCAGGACACAAACGAAGACGAATATCCAGAGAAACAGCCTGTCCACTACCATGGCAACATACTTCCAATCTTCAATGACCTGGAAGAAAAAGCCAATTAAAGATATTAGCAATTAGTTTTATTCATCCCCCTTAGTTCTGCTGACGCTGAATCTTTCTATATGAAATTAACAGGAAGCAAATCTCAAGGATCAGGGAACAAGCTGACTTGAGAGCTCAAGGAGGATTTTTTTCCACATTTGATTTGCACAATTAAGATGAATAATGTAAACATTTCTTTGATATCTCAGGTACAGAGTGTGGTTGAGTGTCTTGTTCTGGTCTAGAAGAACTTGCAATATAATAGAAATAAGTAAACTCTTACCTGAATTTAGTTTGCAGATGCTATTAATCTCCATGGACAATATTTAGTGCTGKTAAACAAAGTTGGCTTCAGGGTTCTTTCCTTATCAAATATCTTAATCAAGAGTTTTAATGCATATTAATACTCTTGCTTTTACTAATATCCCTTTTTCTCTTGCATATGTTGTCTGTGAAAGTCATAGGGCCAGCCTTAGATTTCGTTTGCAAGTTAAAGTGACTATAAACCTATTACTATAAAAGGGAAATATTTTAATCTATTCATTTGCCTCTCAGGAATGGTTATTTTTTCCACTCTCGCTAGTTCTGGTTACCTATAGGACATACTCACCTCAGAGACTTTCCAGTRCTTCTCATTTATC